GAAACTGGACAAAAGAGCTTCTGAGCATCAAAAGGATCACGATTTTCTTGAACTGGTAAACAGTATTGACAGAATCAGGCATGCAAATATTGTTGAGCTTATCGGTTACTGCGCTGAGCATGGCCAAAGGCTGCTGATCTATGAGTACTGCAGTAATGGGTCACTGCAGGATGCACTGCATTCAGATGATGAGTTCAAAACAAGATTGTCATGGAATGCTCGCATTCGGATAGCCCTTGGGGCAGCCAGAGCTTTAGAGTGAGTCCAGTAATCATTGACATAGAAGAAAATTGGTCCCAGTTTGTTAATTGCATAGCTCGTAGTGAATTTGAAACTTTCATTTTCAAATTCTGAGTTTTGTTTGAATTTTTAGTTTGTGTCGGTTTTCAGTAGATGCCGGCCATACTTCTAGAAGTTGCTGCAAGATATATCTTCGCATCATCAAGTTTATGCTCCCAATTTGCTATTGATTTCCAAATTCCAAACCACTAAAACATAATATTTATGCATGATACTTCATCATGTGGGTGAAACTCACTTTATGGGCTATGGCACACCGGATGGGTAGATTTTTTAGGCGATTTGATCAGTTCATCTGACATCTATTCCTCTGGTTGTTAATGTAAGACTTAATTAACTAATTTGAGTAGATTAATAATGTTAGTTAAATTAGTTAATATTATATATATATTTTTTCCAAAACATCCTAAACATCTTTCTTAATTTCTTCTCTCCCTCTTCTGCTTGATTATTGTTGGAGAATATGAATAGGGTTTATTTGGGAAAATGGGTAAACATATGAAATAGGTCTTATATATATGATATGTTTTCTTCTTAATTAACTAATTTGAGTAAATTAATGATGTTAGTTAAATTAGTTAATATGATAGGTTTTTTTTCAAAACATCCTAACCATCTTTCTTAATTCCTTCTCTTCCTTTCCTGCTTGATTATTATTGGAGAATATTAATAGGGTTAATTTGGAAAAAATGAGTAAACATATGAAATAGGTTTTGTATATAAGACCAACATTAACTCCCCAATTTGGTCTTATATTAAGGATCAGACAAGTAATTATTAAAAAGTAAAATTAGAGAAGAGAGGAGAAGAGGACAAAGATTACAAGTTTCTGGACACAGCTTCAAATTTGCATTTTGTAAGTACACGTTCATAATCAGTTTTTAGTTTTTCACTTTCCCACTAGCCATTTAATTGAGTTGTTATAATCCAATCCCTTAATTCTCCTAGAGGTTTTGCACCTTATTTCTCAAGTTTTATTTAGCCAGCTATAAAGTTGTTCTAATTGAGCCCACCGACAGCTCTACAAGTTTTTCCGTATGTTGGTCATTATTGTGGGTCTATAATTGCTAGCAAATGCATAGAGGACCAGTTTGACTAATCTTGAAAGTGGGGGTGTCTGATTAGAAGGCCAAATCCATCTGGCTTTTGGCACCAAGATAAAGTTGAAACATCTCAGTGCCTAATATTAAATCTTCTCTCTGAGCTCTAATATTTGATAGAGGGATGAGGTTTTTCAGGACTTGGGAATGACATTCATGCAAAAATATAATTGAATGTTGAGGATTTAAAATTTTTTCTTTGTGTGAACATATTTACATTTTACAGACACATAATTTGATGTTCTGAATCTAATACTTGCTGTGGTAATTTGAGAAGGTATTTGCATGAGATCTGCCAGCCACCTGTTGTACACAGAAACTTCAAATCTGCCAATATTCTCCTCGATGATGATCTATCTGTGCGTGTTTCTGATTGTGGTTTGGCTCCCTTGATAACTTCAGGTTCTGTAAGTCAGGTACGATAATACGAGTAATATTTATTATATTTTGCAATGGATGCGGGTTGTCTATGAATATATCTTTGTCTGACTTACTCAAGTCAAGCCTGCTTTGATCATGTGAGACCAGTTTTGGAAATAGGAAATATTGGTTCTCAGTTCTCACCCATACAGATATTCTAACTTGTAATATGGTAATATTAAAAGCTATACACCTTCGTCCTGGAGGCTCCATGGGAGAAGGTGGAAGTAGGAACTAATATTGCACATGCAGATGGATGTCGTGCAGTGCAAAATTCACATTGCTCTTGCATACATAAATAGATAATAGACAAATATACTTAAATGAATATATGTATATGTTAATGTATGTATTGCTCTCAATTGTGCATTTAATTGTAAAATAACTTGAATATGCCCCCGGCTTAAGACATCTTTTCCAATACATAGTAATTGGCAGCCGCAACAAAATGATGTTTTGGATTCATCAGCTCAAAACATGACTGTCTCTATGAAATAAGGTATTCTGATCCCTGTTAGCCAAGAAGTAATGCTAGATACAGTTGGGGGAAAATGGAGAACGGGGCTGAATTATTACATTCATAGTCATAAAATTAGACGTAAAACATTAAAAATTTTATTTGGATGTTCATCTGAAGTAGTTTGCACTATATCGCAGGACTACTTTAAGGAAACATCATTAATGTATCGGAAGTATTTTTCATTTGTAGCAAACTAAAATCGCACCAATCCTTTTCAGCTCTCAGGGAACCTGCTAACAGCTTATGGCTATGGAGCTCCAGAATTTGAGTCCGGAATTTACACACACCAGAGTGATGTGTACAGTTTTGGAGTGGTTATGTTAGAACTATTGACAGGCCGCCAGTCCTATGACAGGTAAGAATGCATAGCTTTAAGTACTTGCTCACCCCCTTTAGAATTTTTCATCCAGCTGGTTTATGCATTTCTGAACATCTTGGACAGGACACGCTCTCGGGGGGAGCAATTTCTAGTTAGATGGGCAATTCCCCAACTACATGACATTGATGCCTTATCAAATATGGTAGATCCTTCTCTCAGTGGAGATTATCCAGCCAAATCATTGTCAAACTTTGCAGACATTATTTCTCAGTGTGTTCAGGTGATATTTCAATGCAACTTTCAAGCTTTCACTACTGTCACTAACTGATTATAGTTACTGGCTACTTTTTTATGTGCCAAAGTTTTATGGGATCTAATTTCCTGGTCTCAATGCATACTGCAGTCGGAGCCAGAATTTAGGCCACCTATGTCGGAGGTTGTTCAATACCTACTAGATATGATAAGGAAGGAATCTCACAGAAATGGATCAAATGAAGATTGAGGAAAAGTAGCAATATGTTCTCGTAGATGAGTGTGCAGAGATTTACCTCCAGAGTACCAAGATTCAACAAGAAGTAGTAGTATACATGTCAAATAGTCGCCCCCTTGCTTCTTTGCTTCCAACTACTAACCCATCAAGTATTTATGTCAAGTACTACTGGGAGGAGATTTGTTCAATCAGTTTCAGAGTATTTTATTGGTCGCCAATCCTCCCTCCTCGTTCTTGTTCTCATTTATACTTAACAATTCTATATATATATAGTTCCTTAAAACCTTGCCATAATCATGTTTGTATTGCACAGAAACTAGAATTCACTAACCCCATTTTTGTTTCATAGTTGTTTCCAAATATTTGGTGATGAAATGTAATTTCATTGTGCATTCATTTGATTCCGTGTTCAGCTCTGAAAAGTGACACGTAATTCGATAGTTTGCATTGTAATGATAGATTTACTTACGTTGGATTGAACATTGCTTTTGGACTACGGTGTTGGTTTAATTATGGATTTACCCGTGAAAACAAATTGTAGTTGGCAATTGCCGATTATACTATGTATTCTCTCTGTTTCCTTTTGGGTTTACAAACAATTACAAATTATGCAAAAAGGGACCATCTTCCCTGTCGTAGTTGAAACCAGGAACAGGAACTATGTAATCTGTGTTGTATATGAGTTGCCACTAAGGGAGTATTTGGATAGAAATCAAATCATAGTTTTAAAAGTATTTTTACGGTTTACGAAGTAAATATGTGGAGGAGTTTGTTTCGTTTTGCGGAAAAATACTTCTGAGAAGTACTTTTGAGGGTTATCTAACATCCCCTAAATTGTGATAGAGAATATCCGGTGCTGCGCTGCGTGACGTTCCATGAGGAATCGAAAAGGGCAAAACCCCTTGCTCCCAAGAGAAATGGGTTGGCCCATGGAATTGATTGATGTTTTATCATTCGGGTAAATTACGCCAACTAGCCTTAAAATTTGTTTATAATATGTAACTTGAGGTAATTTATTCGTGTTTTAAAACCAGCATGCAATATTTTCCCACGAAATTGTGAACTTTACCAATACGTTACGATAAAGTTTCAATCGAATTGATAATGACCTCAAGCAGATCCGATTGATAATTAAGACATTTTGATCGAACTGTAGTCATAGTCTTTGATATCCCGGACCCAAAAAAAAAAAAAGAATCATTGTCGTTGCTAGGAAAAATCATAATAGTGCCTGACAGTGTCTCAAATAGGATTATCTCTAATAGGAGGATACATATATTTAGTTAAAAAAAATCACAGTAGTTAGCAAAAAAAGAAAAACGAAAAACGAAATAAACAACAAAACGTCACTTTTGGGTAGTAAAAAAATATTATCCTTCGTAAGATTTCAGTTAACAAAATTAGTAAAAACAATTAATTAAATTTAAATAATACTTAATTAAGATTTAAAAATGAAATTCTAAGATTAATAAAAAGAAAATAACATAAAAAACGTGAGTAAAATTTATAATCATGTCAAATGATTAAAACAAAATCAAGAGAAAATTACTCATAGAATGTAAGAAAATCAAATACAAAGAAGTCTCAAAAAATTTATATTTATAATTCAAAGTTCGAACTTACATGTTTAGTTTTAAAAATTAAACTTTTATATCTATAGGTGAAACTTATTATACTTATAAAAAATAAATTTTGAGGCATTTCTGTATTAATTTATTTTATTTAGGACTTATAAATAATTTTTCTTAAAATTGTAATGAAGTTATATTTTTGTTTAAATAAATACTCTACATTTTATCCAGGCAGCGGTTCTAAAATGCGCGTTTACTCTACATTACTGTGCTGGGAGAATCAAATTATCTCCGTTCACGCGCGAACGGAACACCCCTCATCCTTTTGCTTTTCAGTTACCCACTAATCAAAACAAGACCTTCAACAGAAGCCATCTGGTCCAAACCTTCTCTGATTCTGCCACACCCTTACGCCAATCGGCGGCAACAAGAACCGCAATTTCAGGAATCGTCTCTTCATCCTTCTTACCAACCCGAAGTTTCCTTATCCTTTTTATTTAGATCCATTTGGTTTTTGCTTAGTCTTATTGTTTAGATCTATTTTTCTCTGGTCCAATGAGTCGGTACGATTCGAATCCTTTCGAGGAAGAAGAGGTCAATCCCTTCGCGGTAAGTTCGTGGCTAAATCTACGGTTTTCGCATTCAAATCTTGTAGCTCAACTTGATGTGTCTGATTCCCTTGAGTGTGATCTATGAGGTTGCAAGTGCATTGAGTTTATTGTTCATGTGATGATTGTTGATGCGCGTTAACTGATGGTTTCCATTTCTGTTTGGCTGGATGTCGCTATGTCAGATCCCTTTGTTGTTTTCTAGATATTGGTGAATTGAAATTCACAATGTAGCTTAACAGGCGATGCTTCCTGCACCTGTGGGATGCTCGTTCGTCTGCTGCCAAATCCAGAAAAAAAGAAGTATAAATATTATGGTCTGTAGGTGGTGTGTTAAACTGGAAACTTGAGGATATATATATTTCTTCGGATCATAATAGCTTCCTTCTCAAGATTGCTCGCTAGTTACTAAAATCATTGAGGATTGAGTAACTGCATCCTACCATTAATGTTTGAATAATAGAATAAAAGCCTGAGAGCGATTTCTTGACTGTTTTCTCTTCATCTTTATCTTTTTTTCAAATGATTTTATGGTTATGTCTATCATCTATTGTCTATATATGTGTTTGTGCGCGCGCGCGCGCGCGCGGGGGGGCAGTAAATCAGAAGTTTGCATTGCCATATATTGATTATTTAGGCATTGAGGAAATGAAATTTAATTCAACGAATGAACATGCAAAAAGGCTGTTAGAATTCAAAAGTCTGAAAAATTTTCTGAACAAAGTCATCAAAATTTTATGTTTTTTATGGAAGACCAAAAGTTTTCATTACAGGCTGAACAATATTGAAATTTTTAGGTTTTTACTATGTGCCTCTTGGAGAATTGGAACAAATTGTCTTCAGCATGATTAATGTAATCAGTGAATTATTTAGACATTGGGAAAATGAAATTTAAGTCAGAGAATGAATGTACACAAAACCTGTTAGAATTCACAAGACTGAAGAATCATTTAAACACTATCGTCAAAATTGTAACTTACAGATGTGCTACCTTACATGACTTTTAAAAACTAAACCAGCATCCATTTTCATCAATGTTTAGGATGGAGCAGGTAAAGGAAAAGGACAATCAACCTATAGTGGAGGTGCATTTTATATGACCGTAAGCTTTCTCTTTCCTATCATGGGTACAATTTCCTTAAGATATAACGATTTATGTTATCATATTTTAACTGGAAAGAGAGAAGTAACGTGGTGCTGGTAACTGGCCTATATGGTTGGAAAGATTCTACTGCATATCCATGATCTTGGACTTCCTCCATTCCTTCTTGTGGAGCTTAGATCCTTTCAATACTTTTTACCAGCTTTATAACTTTGGACCCTGCCCCGCCCCCTTTGGGGGGGGGGGGGTCTTGGGCCCTTCTGATCCGTACACTTTGCCTTCAGAATATTTTAACTTGGAAATAATTCATTCGCTCATGCCTTCTTATATGATCTCTTTAATTAGTATCCTTCCCAAGTTCCTTCGAGATCAACGACCTAGTAACCATGCCAATCCACATTTTGCAGTCACTACGAGTGGGTTAAAGCAGAACACAATAAACTTGCACAAGGGCCAGGAGGACTAAATTTTCAACCGATTTACTTCGTCTGGCTATGTCATTGTTATTAAATTATCAAAACGATTTTCTTAAATGGATTATGGACCATAATGAAAGATGAACCCCCCCCCCAAAACAAAAAAAAATATTTCCTTTCTTTTTGTGTGTGGACAGGAGAATTGTTTTGGGGAGGTAACTTGATGTAGGTTGCCACTGTTTTGCAAGTTTTTATGTTTGTCTCTTGTTATTTGTCTCTATATTTTTCTTATGATTTTCCAACCACATGCTTATAATGTAGGTTGGTTCATTACCATTACTAATTCTCGCTTATTTTCTCAGAACTCCGCAACTGTCCCTTCTGCAGCATCTAAGCTCTCACCCCTTCCTCCTGAGCCTTATGATCGTGGGGCAACTATTGATATTCCTCTAGATTCCTCAACGGTAAAAGAAGTTTTAAACATTGAGCTTAATGTCAAAATGATTCTATTTAAAAGTCCTTAATGGCATAGATTTACTTATTTTCTTATCATCTTCAGGATGTAAAAGCAAGAGAGAAGGAGCTTCAAGCTAAAGAAGCGGAATTGAAAAGAAGGGAACAGGTGATTTATCCTGCCATCTTCATTTGATAGCATTTAAAGAAGTGTTAGTGTTAGAAAATGATTGTTGCTATGTTAGATTCAATGATTTTGTTTGTTTTTCCTCAGTGTAGTGGTGCCTATGAAATTATGATGATTTTAGCAATTCTAAGTTCAAATCTAGTGACCTGATTGGGTGGTAATGGTGGTCCACAGAAATGCCAAATGGCATTGCCTTTTTCATTTTTACTATTTGATATTAGTAAACGGATGTTCCTTCTGTTGAGTATTGAGATTAACACATTGATGGACCACCATTTTAGAATTTTTAGTGCCATGCCTGCTCTCTGTTATCTTGTTATAAGTTGGTCTGGTCATTCTGCATGTACAATGTCTTCTGTCTGTCAGATAATTAATGAGCTCATGACCTTTTCAGGAACTAAAACGAAGGGAAGATGCTATAGCCCGAGGTATGTAAGCTTATTCATTCTTACGGAAGCCTACTGGAAACATGTCTGTGGTATGACAAATTTTTTTTTTTTTTTTTTTTGAGCAAAGTGTTGTGACAATAATCTTCTGTTTTTTTTTTTTTTTTTTTTGGCTCAGCTGGTATAGTTATAGAGGAGAAAAATTGGCCACCATTCTTCCCGATCATTCATCATGACATTGCAAGGGAAATACCAATACATCTGCAGAAGGTTCAGTACGTTGCATTCACAACATTTTTAGGTATCTTTGAGTAGTTTGTATTAGATACTACCTACTTGCTGATAATTGATATCATATTAATTATGATGTGTTATTTTTCAATTCAAAGAACTTCTTTATGAGAGTTTATTTTTATCTGTCCATAATTTTATTTTATAATTTAAAGAGCACAAATTTGGGTTGATGGGAGCTACATCTTGGCTAGATAATTTGGTCTTTCAGTGCATCCTCGTGTAATTCTTTGTTAAGTTTTGGAATCTGTTTTAGGGAATTGTTATTTCCATCTTCCATTATTGACATGTTGACCCGTGAATAATCTCCCCTCTCCAGCTGACAATTTCCATTGTGGCAAATATGAATTGTTTTAATCAATCTTTTTTATTTTTACCAATTTACATGTCTTTTGTTTCTGAATTGTGAAAATTGTGCAGGTTTGGTTCTGTGCCTTACATGGAATATTGTGGCAGTTACTACTGCTTGGATCAAAGGGGAAGGTATGTTTGACAACTTTTTGTTGGGCTGTGAACTGTAATTATTATACTCTCACCTGATCTGATCATCATGGTTTTTCTTTTTTCTTTTTTTTCCCCCCCTTGTAGGTCCTACAATATGGTTTCTTGCTATCATCTACTTTATTTCAGGTGTACCAGGTGGCTACGTGTTGTGGTATCGCCCTCTTTATCGGGCTACAAGGTACTGCTAAATTTGATTTTATTCATTTTTTTAATGTTTGGAATAGAGATTTCTGTTTGACATCTTCGTTATCCTTGTTAAGGTCTGAAAAGAATAAAATCTATTTTCCTTCACCAAAGCTTTGTTAACATTAAGGACTTCAAGAGCATTAACTTTTCTAGTTGGTTAAATTTAGACTTTAGCAATGAAATTTAGATGCTCCTGCAAATTTTGGGTATATTAATACTGTCAAGAGGAAGCATTTAATTATCAGAATCCTTTTTGTTTTTCCTGCTTTTATTATTCGACATGGTTCATTTCTTTTCTTAGAGTTTTGTGCTATCTCATGTCACAGGACTGACAGTGCTCTGAAGTTTGGCTGGTTTTTCTTGTTTTACCTGGCAAGTTTATGCCTTTTCTCATTCTGGACACTTGTTCTGCGCTAATGTGCATAGTGCTGATCTCTTTTTTCCCGTGTTTTCCCAATCAGTTGCATATTGGCTTTTGCATATTCGCTTCAGTTGCTCCACCAATTATCTTCAAAGGAAAATCCCTCACGTGAGTTATTTCCTATTCATGGATTTATTATGGATTTAATGTATTAATTAAGTTTGAAACCCCACAAGATTTACACTTACTCTCTTATTGATTTGGCCTACTGGAAGGGAGGAAAACAATGGAGAGTTGAATGGATTGGTATCCACTTAAGGTTGTGGAGTGGACACGTTCATAGTGATTTCATGTACAAATATGTTACTATTGGACTCTACCATTTTGGTTCCATTTCAACTAATATTTGTGTTGCATAATGTATGATGTGGACAGAGGTATCTTGCCTGCTATAGATTTGCTGGGTGACCACGCACTGGTTGGGGTAAGTTTTCAATATTGTAATTGACTCCTTGATGATCAGCCAACATAGAGTCATGCAACAATAGGTGAATACTGTTTAGCCCCCAAGGGCTGTTACGTCTTGATCTCGGGGTAAAATTATGTCACTTCCTGTTCTCACTTGCAGATATTCTACTTTATTGGGTTTGCGTTTTTCTGCCTCGAGTCTCTGCTGAGCGTCTGGGTTATTCAGGTTCTTATAATCTAGAAATAACTTGATATTCTCTCGGCTTCTCTCTAATGCATATCTTGTTTGACTGTTTCTTGATTTACATTTGCAGCAAGTATACATGTACTTCCGTGGCAGCGGCAAGGCTGCGGAGATGAAACACCAAGCTGCGAGGGGCACCATGATGGCAGCTCTATGACACGACTTACAAGGTGGACGGAGCTCTTAGCTTCTTGTCGATTGCCATAAAAAACTTGATTTCTTTGTTACCAATGCCTTGGATTCTTTGCGGCTTACTTATCTTCACAGGTTTTGGGCTATAGGATTCAGTCATGTCAGATGCTTAAGATAGAAAAGCTTAGTTGTGCATATGGAGAAGAAAAAAAGGTTGCATGAGATGTTTCCTTTGATATGATAATGTTTGGCTTGCAGAATGTTACTTTAATTTTGTCGTGTACTTTATCAACAAAAAATATTTTTTTTTTTAAATTTTTCTATGGAGGTTTAAAATCTATTGGGGAAAAAATTTTCTTGTGGATGGAAGAAATTACATTGAGGAAGCTACCCAATTAAACTTGATAATGTTCAGATATGACTGGATAATATTACATATCATATAATTGTGTTTGAAAAATATTATTTGTAGTGAACAATTTTCTGATTTGGCGGACGCCAGTCATAATATGGATGGCTTGTGGAAGGCACTTGGCCGAATTGCCTTGTAATTGTCGTTGAAAATAATCACATGTTCTGCCGACTTGACAAGTGGACCTTATTATATCCTGAAATTGAGGTTTAATACTATGTGCAAATTATTTAACTTATTTGTAAGAACAAAGTTGAGTTATGAAATTGATAGATTAAATCAGAACGGGTGGTAATTCGGCCACTGGTGTGATTTGGGGAGGATGGTGTGGTAATTCAATCTCTTTCCGTCATGTCCCTGGTGGTCGGGCCAAGATTGCTGCCGACAGAAGACCCTTTGCTTCCTTTGAAGCAACTTGGCTTAAGATATTATCATTTTTAGTTTTTTTTTTCATTTTTATGAGCATTTTTACTTACTAAACATTTATTTTTTCCCCCCCACAAAACGTCATTTTCTTTCTTATTATACTTTTTCATTCCTCTCCATCAAGACACATTTTAGAAATGGCCCCTTTGGAATGTGACAATTAATTTCGAAAATCTTGTTGGTTGTTGGCTACAATATGGTTAAGCACCGCAATAATATTTCCCCATATTAAAAAATTACAAGGCAAGATGCATAATATTAATATTCGAGAAGAGACTATAACGGTCTCGTATAATCTTTTATGGAAATGGTGCTCAACCCATCACCTTAAGAATAAGATAGTATGACATGAGTGTTTGTGAGCAGAGTGAAAAATACTCCCTCTCATCCTATATATAAGCTTCACTTTTGGAAAAGGACATTGTTCAATTTATAAACTTTATTTTGAGTTTTGTCTGAATATTTAATGCTTTTTTTTTATTTACAATTTTACCTTTTTTTTTTATTGTATTTATTGTTTTTTTAATGACTATAAACAGCATTAATTAGAAATGGGGCTAACTAGTTACGGGAGAGGGAGAGAGATAACGCTTTGAATTGAGAGAAATATTCTTATTCCTATTAATTTTAAAACACATAGAACATAGGAGAGAAATGACCATTGAAAAGAATGACACCCAATTATTTTAATAATTCATTCTCTCTCATATATTCTCTTTTATTATTTATTTATTGTCTCTCTCACTTATTCTTATAATAAACAAGGACATATTTTAAAAAAGTACATTTCTTATCTATTTATTATTTTTAACTAATTTTAATTGGTTGTTCGTTAAACTCGATTAAATTATTTGAAGTTTATGTATAGTAACGGAGAGAATATCAAACGAAACTCAGAGTCCCCTCCCATCTTAATTACTTATAAGATGAAATATCGGAAGGTGTGGTGTTCGCGTAGCCAGGTTACAAAATTTTAGGAGTGATTAATAATTGTTTCTGAAATTAAACTGCCTCTAATCAACGGATAAAGACTTGGCCCATGTTGAAAAATAATGAGCATTAATTTAGGATAAAAGTGGAGAGATGTTGATATCAACATAAATTTAAAGAGAGAATTCAATTCTAAAAAATTAAGCCATTAAGGAAATTATCAAAAGTGGGGAATTATAACACTACGCTTTTGAAAGGAGCACTTCATTCGGCGTCCTACTTGTTAAAGCCATCCGTGAGTATCAATTTAATAAGAAAAAGAACTTATTAAACTTATAAATCACATCATACTTCGTTAGTGATGTACATTTTATTGAATAGTATATGGACCACTCGCAATTGAATTGATCTTCGTCTGGGAAATACAGATGGATCCATCGGTTTGATCATGTAATGCTCTAAAACACAACGAGGACCTACCAACTACCACCTGTATGCCCCGTGCCCCACTCCAAATTACAGTGACATAGACATATAACAAGCATCTTCTTCTTAGTTACTACCAAGGTTCACAGCCTCGTCCCTCCTATCACATCCACGTGTACCACTAGATCTCACGTACACCATTCCACGGAACCAGATTGTATATAGGCCAGCCTCAGCTTGACTTCACTAAACGTCGAGCAGCTATGAGCCACCAGATTGGTTATCAACAAATCCAACGCTCATGATTGCAGAACACATCAGTAAGATGCTCCGGCTTTAGTCTCCCTTGTGAATGCTCATTCCCATATTGCCTTAAATTAACGAATTTCACTGTACTGAGACGGGAAAAAGCAGAAAAGAGCAGCAAGGGAAGGAGAAGATTATCATGGTATTTTACTGTTTTCTGGTGGACCAAACACGACAGGTGCTTCACAGTAAGCCGGCGGCGGGGACGTGCTCGCGGTGTGGCGGAGGAGCCAAGGTGGAGGACATAAGGTCGGCGACCAGATTCTGTTATGTCCCATTTTATTGGAAATCCTGGAGAGCCGTTGTCTGCACTTTTTGTGGAGCCGTTCTTCGTTCTTACCGTTAGAGAGATACCATATGATTCCCATTTTCCAACCACGTGCGCACTTTAACTTAATTTCTTTTCCTCAGGTTTCTCCTATATATTCTCGATCTCTGTCTGATCAGTCTGTTTCTTTAACTTTTTTCTTTTTGGGGAACCTGATGAGTTGCTGTGTTTGTCCTCCTCGCTCAAGAATCTGTCTGTGGCTTGAAACCAGAAGCAGAAACACTTGAAGAGAGATCACAGCTTGCCTTGGTCATGTTTCCCTATAAGCCGGGGTATTCTTCTTGTAGAGGACATGTAATGTATTAGTTTGCTTTCTAGGTAAGTATATGAATATTTGAATGTAGTCAACATATACTGATTAGTCTCCTCCAATAGAAAATAATTTAGTTTATTTGAAAAAAATCTTGATCAAAATAACGACTTGACTAAACAAAACCGATCAATCTGTTTATTGTTAAGTTTAGTTTGTTAATGCAAAAATACGGATCTTCATTCAGAGAGCTTACTCCTCCCTCTCAGACAAGGGTTTTTTCTACTTCCTTTCCATTCAGTTATGATTTCTATTATTAGATGAATTTTGAATCAAGTTAGTTACGATTTTAATTTTACAGAACAACTAGTTCTTGGCAAGAAGCCAAGGAGGATTTTGTTTTCATTTTAATTTCTCTTGCCCATCTTATCACTACTTTTTTAATAAAAATTTGAAAGTTTTTTTTTTTTTCAAGAATGGTTTCACCTTTTCTCTTGCTTTCTCAATCTGACATGTACAATGAACTATATGAGAATCAAAAATAAATTTGGTCCTGATCCTATTAAGAGGTGTTTGAATGGAAATCAAATCATGATTTTAAAAGCACTTTTACGGTATACGAAGTAAATATATGGTCCTGATCCTATTATAGGACTTGGGCATTTTGGTAAATACTCCACCGCATGGAATTAGGATAAATTCATTTGTATATGCAGTGCTGTTTATGTATTGTCAAATACTACTTTTGTGTTTAATATAAAACCTAATTGGTCAATTTTAAAAAATTAAATAAAATAAGTAAATTATTTTAAAGTATTATATTTATCATTTTTCTATAAACTAATTTGCTTGGGTTCTAAATTGATACATAATTTGATGATACACATAAGTATTTTAGATAGATCATGTAGCATATGCTATAATTAAGTAATTTTTTAAACTTACTTTTCTCAAATTATAATTAACTAGATCTTATATTAAAAATCAGAGATGATAATAAATTAATATTAAAATTGTTTTTTTGTATAAAAATATTCTTTGTTAACTATACATTGCTTGAAATTTTCTAATAGTAATTCAATTTGATCTTGCAAAAATGATTAAAAAAATGTTTCACTTCTTGTTCTTTTTTTTTTTTTGGATGCCAACGCTCAAACTCGTGCCCTAAGATTTAGAAGCATAGCCGGAAACCACAAGGGCACAAGAAAGCAAGTTTCACCTCTTATTCTTGACATGAGAGTTAGATAACTAATTTGCTAACAATTTTCAATCCTCATGCCATTTACTATAGATGTCAAATGGAACAGTGAGAGAAAAAGTGAAATCATTCTCATAATGAATTTCACTTTTTTTATTAAAAAATATAATTGGCAGAATAATAAAGTGATAAGATGGGGGGAGAGGCTAGAATAAACAAATCTTTTTAATAAGAACAAGTTCTCTGTAAAATTGAAATCGTTTTTTATGTAACGATTTTTAGGGTAGTATTTTGGTTAAAAAAAAATATTTTTTACTGTTTATAGGTTTCGTTTTCGTCCGTACAAAATGCTATTGCAAGCGATTATTAAAGTTATTCGCCGCTGATTAATTAATTAAGGAGACATGAGAGTAGCTGCGTGTGGCTTTCAATCACGTTCACAGTTGAGTGAATGCCCATGATATTGACCTTATATTACAGGTTTCAGCATTTATTAACGTTACGCTGATATTTCTTCCCCCAGAAAAATAAGATCAACGCCATTCTCCATTAAAACCGCAGAATTGACCATTTGAGAGCACTGTACAAAGCCCATGAAAAGGCCACCAACATCAATATTATTGGCTCTGGCTGCTATCTCAACATCAAGTCTCTTACTGATACATAATGTGCTTGCAATGAACGAGATTTGGAATTTGATTTCGACTATCCTGAATTAGAATTCAAGCAATTTTTCCATAATGAAAAGCTTTTTGCCAGAGGTTGGAGCCTAACATATGCACCAAGAGGCAAAGAGAGTGAGAAAGAGAGGAAGGTTGACGATGAAAGGCCATGTGAAATAAACTTTGTTTTGATTTATGTAAAATGTGTTCATATGTGTTTTTAAATGTTATTTCAAACAAACCCAAAACTCAATTATATGTTATAAGCATAAACATTAATGTGTAAAATCAATGTCTCGAGATATTATTAACGGTAAATAAATGATCATTGGGGCACGTAGCTTCTTAGTTGTGGCCGATGAAGACAACGATGTGACGATGAGCTTTCTCTCCGGCTTCCGACATGCTTTCTTCTTACCTCGGTGAATGATGTGTCGCGTTATGCTTTCTGCTCCCTATTCATCTGTATATCAAGGTTACATTAATTACTGACCAAACTATACTACACGTCATTGAGATTTGTTTGCGAGACACAAATTCAAAATGAAAGTGCAAAGAGTGTGGCCATTTTTGTCATTGCATATATTTGTTCAGAAAATGATCACAATCCTTGATGATAATTCTTAAAATTCGAGGACCTTATCTGTATATAATTTCATTACATGCGTTCTATTTTTCATCTTCTCAATTTTTTTTAGAAAATTACAATGAGGTTTTAAGAAAAAAATAATTATTAAAAAATCTCAATAAGGTAATAACAACCTAAACAATTTGTAATCACAAGTTTTAAAATAGAAAATAAAAATTCTTAAGACTTATTTCGTAATTATTTTTTGTTTATTGAGACCTTATTATAAATTTTTTTTAAAAAAGGCAGAGCGGCGGAGGATTACTCTTAAGTTTGCAGTGTCGAATAACAAGTCATTGAAGCAGAAGAACCAGTTACAGGACCGATCTATTTTATTGGATCACTCGGCCATCTTGGTTCTTTCCGCTCTGTATCTGATTCTAGATTTCTAGTCAAAGAGAGGCAAGTTATCGGATGGGCTGGGCTGGTTAAAAAGGACACTGATGTTCTCCTATTTGTGTCTAGAATGGACTTGGACTTAAGATTTCGTGTTTAAATGGTAAAGACTCTTGCCCAGGATCAACTCTTTAATAAATTAAGAAACACAATAAACCGACCGAATTGAGTCTAATAGAAAGAGTTTCGAATAGGATTTATTTTTAATAGAAAAATACTTATATTTTAGTAAAAAAAAAAACACAAATAACAAGATAGAAAGGTACTCATTGGAAAAGTTTATATTGGTCTTATGTACAGGATCTATTTTATATCTTTACTAATTTTTTTTTAAATTAATCATATTAATAACTAAGTAGAAGGAGGAGAGAGAATTCAGAAATATGCTTATAATGTTTTAGAAAAAAATATTATATTAACTAATTTAATTAATATCTTTAATTTATTTAGATTAGTTATTAAGTTTTATATTAAGGATAGAAGAAGTAATTTTTTTTTAGTTTTCATCATTCACCATTAAAGATATTTTCCGAAAGATTATTGGTCATCTTTCTCAATTCTCCGCTCCCCTGTGATACTCAGCTATATCCATTCCAAGAATATTATCAAATAAGGTATTAATTTTTTCACAGATCCCACAAAATAATTTATAAGCAAGAACATGATAAATTCAACCAAAAAAAAAAAGGCTCATAAAAATGGAGAGAGTATTAGTAGGCTTTAATTTTATCCGTTAATAATATCCATTGAATAATTTTTTATTAAATTTTAATTTAATGAAGTCGATTCGGAAAAAACATAGTTAATTATTTATTTTTTTAAACATCTTCAACACAGAATCAATATTAATAATTGAAAATTTTAGAATTAAATTTAAGTTTGGGAAATGAAATATGAATTTAAATATAATCTATTAATAATTACATTTTTATAATGCATTCTCTCTCTCTTTTTTTTTTTTTTTTAACTAATACACTTTGTTTGTAGCCGGTCCCCTAGGGTTTAAGGAGCGAACCGCGCACAAAACCTCCGCTATGCCCCCTGAAGCTTCTCTTGAACGTCTTCAACAACGTTCCAAGATCAAAATACCTTATTCTTGGTGCTGGATCAAACGATTTTACTTTTGCCCACCGAGTCATAGATTTTATATCTGCCCCAAATAGATTCGATGGCTGATCAAGAGAACAATGGTATTGGGGTCGCAGACACATTCCCTCTGGTGCTCGAGGATTGTTCCTTCGAGGAGTTGGATAGAAATCCTGTTGTGTCTAATAGCGTGAAGAAAGTGGAGGAGAGAGCCAAGTGTGAAAATTTGGGGATTCCGAGTGGTACGGTGGTGCAAGAAATGAGAAATGGTGCTGAGCCTACTGCTATAGAATCTACTCTTGTCTTGAAAGTGGACGGAGAAGCGTGTGAAAGTTTGGGGATTTCCGGTTGTAACATTGAGGACGGGATGGGAAGTATTAGTCTAGCTGGCGGGCTTCAGAGTTCTGAGCAGGATATGAGAAACGGTGCTGAAACAATTGCTGTAGAAGCTACTACTGTCGTGGAGGCGGATGATGAAGTGCGTCAAGAAATGGGGGTTTTGGGTGGTAACAGTATTGTTAAGGAAGGGGTGGGAAGTACTAGTTTGGTTAGTGGTCTCGGAAGCTCTGTTATAATTGGAAAGAATGACGGGAAGACTGAGACTAAGATGGATGAGGATGAGAGCGAGAGTTCAGAGTCGAGTGAGACTGAGATGGATGAGGATGAGAGCGAGAGTTCAGAGTCCGAGAGTGATGATCCATCTTCATCAACATCTGCATCTTCTAGTAGTAGCAGTGATAGCGACGATAGTTCTACTAGTGGTGGTTCTAGTGATGATGACGATAGTGAAGATAGTGAAGAAGAGGAACATCAGGAAGAAGAAAAAATTACAAAAAAGATTGAAGTGGAAGTTGAAGAAGGTGAGATAAATGACTCTGATGGGCAAGAGCTGGGTACTGACACGGCCGTCAATGATGATGAAAATGCTGGGGAGGTTTCTTGGAGTGGCATTAATGATGAAGATGATGAGGATGGGCCTGCTACGGAAGGACCCATCAGGTCAAAGAACGAGGTCAAGGTAATTTTATACTTCAACTCAGAGACTGAATATTTGATAGTATTTTGGTCTGGAACCCGATGGTGCCAGTAAATTTGATTGGCGACGCAAGTGAAAGTATTGCCTTCTGAACCTAGTTGGTGAGGACTGCTTTGAGTTTGCCGATGAAATTTTTTGTAGTGGGGTTAGTTTGGATATCGTTGGGGACTTCGCTAGGATTCCTCATCTCATATGAGATGTTTTTGGCGGATATTCATTAGATAATATGATCTTTACTGGTCGCGGTAATTGAGTCTCATACTGTATAGACATGCAAATAATGGCTTTGAGTGACGAGATTTTACTCCCGTGATGCTTACCTGCAAGTTAGTTTGTTCTATAATACTAGTTTGTATCATTACTGGCAAGCTAAGCAAGTCATGTTATAGGTGTAATCTAGGTTTCAAAGTGTTAAGAGCCTTTTACATTTTAGATCTGAATTTTATTGTATTCTTAAAATATTTTGATATGTCAGGCATGGTGCTCGCAAACATATTATGAAGCATGCTTTTTTGAACTAATCTGTGTACACAGTAAGCCTTGCTCTGTAGTATTATATAGTTTTATTTTGAGCTTGACTTTTGAACTGACTGTGCTTTTCAGGATCTTCCTTCAGTTCCTCCTGTAAATGTGACCATAGAACCGCACCATCAAATGCTGCCAGTAGGAGTAGTTATGTCGGTAAGATAATGAAAACCACATCTTTGATTAGGGAAGGATAATAGGCATTCACTATGACCTTTATTAGTGGCAAATGTTTTATTTTTGGCTGCATGGTGGCCTGGGTTTAAATACAGTAAACAAAATATCTGTAGTATAAAGGATAGCTTGTCAAATAATATGGTTGATAAACTGAATCAAGTAACTCATTTTACAGATAATCAGCCCCCAAGTCATTGTGGAAGGGATTGAGAAGCATGATCCTCTTAATGAGGGGTCCATTCTCTGGATAACTGAAACCCGAACACCACTAGGGTTGGTTGATGAAATCTTTGGACCTGTCAAAAACCCTTACTATATTGTGAGATACAATTCTGAAAATGAAATCCCCAAGGGTGTCCATGTGGGTACTTTGATCTCTTTTGTTCCAGAATTTGCCAATCATGTGCTTAATAACAAGGATGTTTACAAGAAAGGCTATGATGCTTCTGGTTTGAATGATGAAGAGGTGTCCGATGAAGCAGAGTTTTCTGATGACGAGAAAGAGGCAGAATACAGGAAAATGCAAAAAGTGATGAAGCGAGGCATTAGTGATAAGAATCATGGAAAGCATAAAAACAACAAAAAGAAGGCTTCGAGGAAAAATGGCCCGGCAGCACCTCCCAACCCTGTCCCATCTGCTTCAACGCATAATCATCAAAAGTTTCCTCCATTTTCAGGCATCAGACCAGGTCCTTTCGAGGCAGCTTCGATTGTTCCACCCTTTCGACCTGCAAATCCCGGCCCTAATTTAGCTTCAAATGGAGTTTGGACAAATGGGATATCACTTATGCAGCCACAAACAGCTCTGCTTCCCAATGGATTTCCTCCTAATGACCTATCTTTGTTCCCAGGAAATGCACAAAATCCTTATCAGTTGCCAGTGACAGGAATTCCATTTCAACAGCAGTTAGGCCCCAATCTAGGATCGCTTCCACTTCCAGGAACCAGCTTGCCCCTAGTACAGCCTAATATATTTGCGCAACCTATGCATCCACAGGGGCTTCTTGGTCAAAATCAAATGACATTTGGGATGAGTTTCCCTCAAGTTCAGACATGTGTTAGGGGTGGTGGAGAGCAAGGCTTTTTACAGTACGGCATGCAACCAGAAAAAAATCATAATTTTCAGTCAGGTTCTGACAATGTCCATGCTCCCAATCAATTTAGGTCCGGTGGCTCTGCTAATCGTGGAAGGAAAACCTTTCACCAAAGGGGAAGGAAAGGCTGGCGGCCAACAAAGTAGAAAGTTCTGTGTGCTCCCCTGCCCATGCAAATCTTTACCCGGGCCATACTGGATGTTCCCTTTTTTTTTTTTTTGAGCGTGTAATGTTGAATCTTGGGTTGAAATGAATCTACTTGAGCTATATTTGGTGCCTATGATTATTATCAACTACATAAATATAAATGTAAAACGCGATGAAAGCGAATTACTTGCAGTGACAGAAAAAATAATGATGATGAATACTAATAGATATTAGATCACAGTAAAACTATTAGAACTTGAACTTTTTGCTTCTCACAATACACTTAGGTTATTTTCATACGGTCTAGATTTCATGTTAAATATTACTCGTAAAATTCTGTTTATCAGCATAAATTGGTGGACTTTGTATATTTTGTACATGTGACATATCAGGCTACTTAGTTCATCTCTCTTTACCAGTACTTAGTTCATCTCTTTAATGTTTTTCTCATAAAACATTTAGTAGGCTATTTTCATGCGGTATAGGTTTCATGAAAAAAAAAATGACTTATTAGATAAAAACTAATTTTTGTTCACCCAGCTTCATAAAAAAAATAATTTATTATTTAGTCAACTCTAGATTTTATGACATTTCAAATATTTGTTTTTCTATATTTTAAAAACAAAAATTTGGCTACTCAAATTAACTTCTCAAAATAATCTAAGACCTGTTTTGGTAATTGACTTTTCTTAAAAACAAACAAACAATGTAAAAAATTTTTAAAAAGTGATTTAAAAGAGAAACACTTTCCTGGAAAAAATGACTAGGACAAAAGGGCCCTTAAAGGGAAGATAGGAGCAGATTCCTTCAGACAGAACAAGAATACTGATAGAAATTTATAATCCAGCCAATGGGAACAATCAACGGGGCACCGTGGCTGGAACATCAATCCAATTAGGAGTTATAACAAAATTATTCCTATGACGGAAGAAATGACTCATATGAAGAGAAGGGGTGTGAATATGAATATCAGAATTAAGCAAAAACAGGACTCAAACTTTGGCATTCCTGGTAAAGTCAGTACAGGTCTGGCAGCTACAATCTGAAAAACGGCAGATATCACATCCAAAGCACACACAAGAAGTGCAACCTTTGCATGTCGGAGTACGAGCACATCCTCTGTAAACTCTGCGACTTGCTCGTTCTTCCTCATCATCGCATGTTATTCTGTCAATACAGCTCACCGTTACAAATTATTGCTCCATATATATGTTTTCACATGATAGCAAAGTAAAACTTTAGAGAATTCTTTTTTTGGGGCAACGTACAACTGCGAGATTATCATGTTACATGTAACTTCAAGAACTTGTCTAGAAGATAACGTTGAAAAATATATTAGAGAAAATGATCTTGAGCGAAACAGGATGTTGACCCCCCCCCCCCAAAAAAAAAAAAAGGACAAAAGCTACACGGTACAATTACATTGAAGTAACGAAATCATGTCTTTTTAATAAGAAACGAATAACTTCAAATGCTTTTCTTATAACTAGAATGAAATAAAGATTCCTTCACATGAGCTAGATAATCAAAGTGATAACACATTGTTTTGGGCAAATTTTCTTCTCTTTTCATAAAAAATTTAGTCCAGAAGGCAAATGCATACCACTCCCAGCAAAGAAAGTTCCAGTGATTATTTAGAAGAGACCCTAAATTCAGAAAGAGCTTCGATTTTTTTTCCCAAAAAAAATTCTACTGGGGATGGTAGCACCTTATCTATCAAATCAGAGTATCTTTTATAATCAAATCAAATAGCAAGGTGTTTGGGGCCAGAGCAGGCTGAAGGAAATGGAAATGTAGCACTGGGCAGAACAAACATATGAAATGACTGTGCAAAATGATGATTTCCTTCAGAGCCAGAGAGCACACAAGTCCCAGACGGCCAGAAGCAATCATTATTTTTCCTCATGCTACACATTTTACACCTGCATACAATATTCTCTTGGCTTTCAACCACCCTCCACGCAACGCATATCGAGAAATTCTGGTTATTATTAACCATTATCTTAAAAATCAGCCCTCGAGGCAGAATATGAGCTGGAGATGTATATAACTCAAGTAGGAATAATAAACTGAACAGAAGCAATAATGGTTAATATCAATGGAGGCTGAGCTGTTCTTGTCATTTGGATCATGGGCAACATTGACATGCTAGTACAAGGAAATAATTTTTCCACCATTTTCAGTTTTCATCAACCATATTTTCATTTTGCTTGGCAGGAATTGAATACAATGACTGACGCAACCAACAACCAGAAGGACTGGTTCTACAAGCAGCTCAAATTCTTCAGGTAACAACATAGAGTTGCAAACTTAAAAGGCAAACTATACAAGACTTGTCAACATGTTATTCATAAAGTTCTTCATCAAGCTGCGGCAGAATAGAGGAAGGTGGAAGCACAGTTTGGAATCACTACTTGATACAAGCTGATTTGACAAAATAATTTTTGTGAGAACCTAGATGTTGTGTCCAAACGTATAATCGCAGGAGGTGGTCAACCCCAAGACTCAAGAATTTTTTTAATTACAAAAAGTTATTTTATTTAGAATGGACAGCAATATCTCTGCTTAATGTTGTTACCCACTCCGTTCCAGATTATACATCACAGAAATAATTATTACAGCTCTATTAGCCTAGGAACATTCACTTCCATATTATTTAATACGGGGTAAGCCTTAAATAACCTGCATTAAACACAAAATATCAATAATTTAAACACCATCATTGCAAGCATGGTTTATTAACTTGACCGTTAATTCTTATGTAGAAAAACTTTGGTATGCAGCACCAATGTTTTAGGTTTATTAGCACAAATATTCAATTCAGTGCAAGAGACTAACTGAGTAAGCATACTTGTCATATGGAAGATCAGCACATTTCCAATTTGCATCTGCCAAAGCATCATGGTGAATGCGGCATTCCTCTTTAGTCCTCAGGCGGAACCTGCGCTTTTTTTTGCACCTAGTACAGCTGATAAATTCATCACGGTGACATGACCGTCCATTATTCAATCTATTGGAACCATTAACAGTTTTTGATACTTGATTGTAGTATTTGAGAAGCACCGTTTTGTACAGGGAAACCTTCTCGCCATTAATGATCACCCAGATATTATTCTTCCATTTCCTGGCTGACTCTCTTCCAGAGTGTTTCTCAAATGCAGCAGGACTCAACTTGTCTAGCCATAAAACACCATAATGGAAGTGAGGTCATGGTGGGGAGAGAATTGTTTTAAATTCAATTTTCCGGATCAAAACCACATAGCATGAGAGGCAAAGTGTCAAATATAGAAACAATTTATATTTACTTCATGACCACATAAGACACAGTAGAGATCAGGCCAGGGCAAAACTTAGATGCTTCTGGATGAAAGCAAGCAGAAAGCTAAAAACAATCATTTATATTTTATCTCCGCATTCTGAATTAATCAAGTAGATTTAACAGCTTGTCTGCTGCATTCAAGTATTAAAGACACATTAACACAATAAACTCTGAATCCACCCCGAAAAGCTCCTCCACATGGAACAAACCCATTAGACTTTTAATCTAATCTCATTCATATAATCTCTTTCCTGGACGGTGATGTCCCAGGCGCTGGTCAAATTCAATCATAAAGACATGCCAGAATACTACTTTCTATATCAACATAGGTTTTATTGCAGTGTAGTCCAAGTAGGATTGCTGGGGAAAAAAATCGTTTAGTTTCCTCTGCGTCAGTGCTCTATGTGTGTGTGACATCACTGCGCTGCCGGCGACAAACAAGGTTTATATGATAGCGCGCATTCTTCAATACGCCTACTGTATAGCCAGCGGCGGACTTCTTCTCGGGGTAACCAAAACTCTAGATATATAATTGATCAAACAACTGAAAGCAAACAAGTGGATGCCAGAAACAAGTCCATAGATTATGTCAACGTATGTTAATATGCAGTTTGTTGTATCAGACTCGTACGTAGTCTAACCTCCTGATAAGTTAACCCAAGGAAAACTACTCTAATTAGCATGCAGGTTATTAGAACATGTCTTTCCAGTGACCAAACCACAATGCAAATAACTCCTTTCATCAGATTCACTTTGCTCATTAGAAGTATTAACAAAACCGAGCATAATAACCTTAGAATAAGACTACCGAATCTCAGCCGTGATGGACATGCGATACTATTCAACAGGCACAACTTTGCACCGAACAACTAGCCATGTTTTACTGCCAATGACTTCATATAAAGAAAGAACTGCATTCGCGTAACTCCATTACTCGACCAAAGGAACGTCTTCATTGAGACAAATCAACATACACCTGAACTGTGTAACTGGCAAAAGAAGTGACGACTTGCATAACTATTGTTACCAGCACTAAACGCAACGCAGATTAAGTAACCAACAGCGACGCACATGAACGTGAACATTCAGACCAACAGAAATCGCACACTCAGGAAATCAACATGCATAAAAATCAAAACCTCAACTTTAGAAAGAGCTCGGAAGAGAGAGAGAGAGAGACCTTCCTGGCAACCAGGGGTGCATTCACAAGTGATTTCGAGGCATCCATTTACGAAAACCCTAAGCCGTCCGACAGCGTCACCGTATCTATGGCTAGTACACCCACATGTCACCTCCACATAGTCTTCAACCCTCTTCACCCCACTCACCTCCCTCAGTTCGTCATCACTGAACATTGTAAACCCACTTTCTCTATCTAAACAATTTGCCATTGTTCTCGTTCGCGAGAAGAGAAGACTCTGTTTCGGCCAGGAAGAGGGAGAAGAAAAGAGATAAAACCCAGAGGATATCTTGCAGGAAAGTCGAATATATAGTCGAAGGAAAGATATGCGGCGAAAAATCAGGAACAGTACAAGGATATCCTCCAAATGATGGAGTATTGATACGATATGGAAAACCCCCGACAAAAGCTCTCAAGGAGGTTAAAGAAAACCCGAAACTACAAGCAGCCCCCAAGGGCTACTCCAAGAGATCTGGCAGGAAAAACATTGAGAGACAGAAGAGAGAAGAAAGTAAGCGCACGAGAGAGAGAGAGTGGCAGTGACAGAGGTGAGTGATGGGACGGTGAATGAGCTGGCGGAGCAACACCAATGTGCTGTGGCGAAGGGCTTAAACTCCCAAAGCCTTAAATAGTCAGCTCAGCTATCTGCATGATCTGACATTAGGCCCTGTTTGGTTTGCAGCAAATTTGGTTTCACATACGAGGCTCTCCATGTATTTGACTTCTGTATTAATTATCCTTAATATT